TCTGTAAAATGTGCACATCTTATCAAATAATGTGTTACTACCACTGTGATTCATCATTCTTCCCTATCTGTTTTAGTTTGTAGTACTCACATGTTGCAGTTTAAGCAATTAATAAACTCTTTAGGACAGTATTATGAACTGTCCCTTACCCGTTCTGTCTACAGCAGTTTCTTGCCAAAATAAAACTCAGTCATGAATAGTTATGAATTACAGGTTGAACCTCTTTAGTCAGGAACTCTCTGGTCTGATAGTATCCGTTATTTTAGCTAGCCAGATGTATACTTATGGATGTGGCTAAGTTTCCCGCAGTCCCATCGAGTTTGTTTACAGCCACCAATCCTGGCTTTGTGTTCTGTGCTGTTCTTTAGCTCTAATTTACCCCTACATGTCTTCTAAGCACCCAGTAAGCAATGGTAATGTTGCTAGAAAATACTGACTTCCCCTAGTTCGGCAGATTCTCTTGTTCAGACTAGAGAGGTTCAACCCGTACTTGAAAAAGGATCAAACCAAAGTGTTCCCTAAAATAATTTTAACATGCGTGAATGTTACAGCAAACAGAATGTTTTTTTAAGGGAGCTACAGTGCCTGTCTGGTAATTTCCCACCACTGAGTTACCTTCAGAAGGTTAAATATCTGCCTCTTATCGTGACACACTGGGGATGACTACAGATTTCCATATTGTATTTTAATGCTTTGTTCAGTCACCAAATTAGCTTTCCAATTTAAAAACACCATTAAACAGAAAAATCTCTTTTCTATTGTTCATTGTTTAATAAATTCTAAGCATTGTTTGAAAGACTGCAGCTGCATATTGTGCTGAAACTGCTCTTCCTACTTTCAAATTTGCCCATTAGTCTAATATGTCAAGGTAGCTTGTTTTATACTTTAAAACAAGGCTCAGCAACCTTTTCAAATCAGAGCCAAATGACATCAAAATTCTGAACAAGTGGTCAACAAAGGGTATAAGAATGCCCATTTCCATGACTGAAAATATACAACTTAATATTGATAATTGACATGGTGAACAACAACAAATTAATCATTGTATTCACAGGCTTTAGTAATGGGACTTCTGCTGCTGTTGGGGATGCAGTTTGTGGATGTGGAGGTGCATGAATCAGGGTTGGGATGTATGAGGAGTTCAGGGCAGGGGGTTGGGATGTGTGGGAAGTGTGGGAGGCAGCTCAGGATGCTGGGAAGTAAAGTAAAATGTGAGGGGAAGGAGGCGCTCTGGGGCTAGATTACTGTGGTGGCCTCCCCTCCTACACATGCCACAGCAGGAGGGGGGCCACAGTCAGCCCTTTCTGCAGCCAGATGGGGGCCGGATCGCAGGGCCTGCCCCATGATCAGGATCAGGCATAGGACCCTGTGGCCAAATGGGGTCTGGGTCCCCATTGGGGCCTTGTTTGCCAGGCTGCCGCAGCCAGAGCTCAAACTGGCCCACCACAGCTGTATTGTTGCAGCAGTTGTGGGGTCATCGTGTCTGGGCTGTGAGGTCTGCTCCTGGAGCATGGTGGCTGGGGATAGACTGCAACAGTCAGATGGAGGCTGGAGCCAACCTGTGGTGGCCAGACAGAGGCATCTTCCACCACCAACCCCTCTCGCTATCCCGGATGGGAGTGCCCATGTGTCCCCTACAGCACGCCCTCAGCTGGCCTTTTAAACGAGTCGAGTGCTCCAGCTAGCTCTTGATGCAGCCCACCGGGGCAACACTGCCTTACTTTACCTCTGGTTAAAGGTGAAAGACAAAAAAGAGACCATCTTGACATGAGTAATTATGTGTTTTAAAATGTTTTATTTTTCATTTTAAAAGTTGCATGTATTTTGGGAATGACAAAAGAGCCATATTTGGTTCTGGGTGTTCGACTCCCACTAGCACCTCTTGCCTGCCCCATTGACAATTCTTCCCTTCCCTCCATCAAACAGCTGTTTCACAGCATTCAAGAACCTCTGTGAGGGAGGGAGAGGAGTGGGGACATGGCGCACTTTAGGGAAGAGGAAAGGAAGTGGTCAGGGGAAGAGGTGGAATGAGGGCAAGGCAGAGCAGGGGTGGGAAGAGATGAGAGTTTGGGGGCAAGAGTTATAGAATGGGGCCGGGGGAGTCCAGCACCCCTTGGCTAAAGAGGAAGTCAGTGCCTATACTTCTTACTACCTATTAATAGATCTATTACTAGTCCCTAAATTATCACTGTCATGAAGACAGAGGAATTTGAAGTGAAGATGACTTGTAGTCAGATTCACCCAAAATGGTGAAACCACCAACCATAGAAATATGCTCACTAAATATTCTATACACCATTACAGTATCTTCAAGCAAAAGTACTGTAAGATATATTACATGAAGATAGTCACATACACATCTGAGGTCTGTGCTTTAAGTTACATAAACTATAGTTTTCAAATTCATTCATATTTGTGTAATTATACAAATTATTTCTTACTACCAGGGGAGGTTGTGAGGGCCAAAACCAACAGGATGCAAAAATGAAATCCTTAGATAAACTGATGAAGAATAAGTGCATCAGTGGCTATTAGCCAAGATGCTCAGGGACACAACCCCATATTTTTGATGTCCCTTAGCCTCTGAATGCCAGATAGTAGGACTGCACAACATTATTTGCCCTGCTCTGTTAATCCCCTCTGAAATAACTGGCATCAGCTACCATTGGAAAATAGGATATTGGGCTAGATGTACCATTGGTCTGACCCTAGAAGTCCATTCTTATAGTCTCATAGTGTACATAGCTTGTGATGGGGCATTCTATATTCTTTGTGAAAATATGCTTGTGAATATGACATAACTGGAATATACTTTGAGAGATACTTCATGTGAGATATCATTGGAAAGGTTGTACTCTACCGAATATGATTATCCATTTGTATGCATGAATCATTCCTATATTTGAAATTAGAAATATGAAGTATAAACCTGTGTTACTAATGTAGTTGTGCTAATTATTACTAATGACCCTCATTCAAGGAACTTAATGGTCCAATACACAGGACAATGATCTATGAATAGATTTGTTTTTCCTCTAAGCCTGGGAGGAGGAGCTATTCATGGGTCTTAAGAGATGTGTCCATGTCACAAGATACTTGATACATCTTGGCTGCTGTATTTTTCCATAAGAGCAGAGGGAAAGTTTGCATTGAACAGAAAGGATTCCCCTCTTCTGCAAAACTTATTTGAAGGATGGGATGTGAGGTAATCTAGGTCATCAATAATGTTTCTGAAAGTGTTTCCACGGTACACTTTCAGAAACACTGGTCTATAGCATTAGCCTATAAGCTTTTGCTTATAGATTACTCGACTACAATATTACATCCCTACTAAAACTACTAAGTCTGAGTTGGGAGAAGAATTAGATCCAGGCTGGAAAGATGTCTAGTCTGTGAAGATTATTAGAACAACTTTTAGGGTAAGATATCACATATAACTAGTTTTTTTTAAAGTATATTAAGATTAACTTGCATGTTCTGTTTAATTTTGCTTAGTAACCTACTTTGTTCTGGGTGCTATCTTTTATACTTAAAATCAATTTTATTAATAAATCCAGTGCAAATAATTATTACCGGGGGAAGGGGCAGTTAGGATGCTGTGTACACAAGAGAAAATTAATTTCATGCGCTTGTACTGTACAGATCTCTATGCAGCATAAGACTGAGGGTTCAGCTCCCAGAAGGGCTACGTATTTCAGTACTGCGAAAAGATCTCACGCTGTGTTGTTTACAGTGTGTGTCCACAGCCTTAGAGGTCTTGCCCTGTCCCCATGTCTCTGCTGAAGCAGGTTGGAGAGCTGGGCTTTACAAAACAGGGTTACAGGGTGCCCAGGCTATAAGGGAAAACAGACTCAGGAGGGTCTCAACACATGAGGTAACAGTCCTGAGGGGGTCCTGACCTGTCACATAGCTACTCAGACTAATAGTCTGTAAAGCATTCTATGAAGTTTTTATCTGTAGATATTCTTCCATAACATAGCATTTGTGCAACAATATAATTTATTAGCAAGGAAAACAAAGTTTAAACATAATAAATCAAGTTATTCTGATTTTTACAAGACTGGAGTACTTTGATATTTTTCCTTCAAGTTGAGAGACTATGCTTGATTTCATTGTTTATTTTTTATAAAAGCAGTTCTTCAATTCTAAAATAATAAATTTCACATGTACAAATATTATAAATATTATAATTACTGGAACAGTAAAACATCATGTAACATTGTTGTATCCCATTTTAGCTGTGTATGCTGCAACTACTTAGAAAAAAGTATTAAACATCAAAGGTACATTTAAAAAATAAAAGTTTGTCTAAAATCATAATATTTTGTAGTTATGCTATTTTATTTACAGTGACAAATGCTTCCTCCTTTTCATGTATTTATATCATTTCAAAATAAATCTGATCATACTGCCTTGATATATGTTAAAATGGTTTTATTTATAGTCATAAGACCTCATCTACATTGGCTATTTCTGGGAACTTTCCCACCACTGTGGTTCCAACAACCATAGCATTGATGGAAGCACTGATTTAGTTGATCTAGATCTCTTCTGAGCAGAACTAGATAAGATGATGGGGAACACTACACAAGTGTTTACCGATATATGTATCCATAGCAGCAGATGCCAACACATGTGACTATAAAGCGAATATCCATGGATTTGTAGGGCTCTACTGATTTACAGTAGAACATTTTGTAGGAAGTTGGGGCCCAGTAGCAATGTTTAACATACTTCATGTTGTTTACAAAACATGCACTTAATACTTTATCAATGACAATAGCTGGGTTTTAACTGTGCAGTTTCAAACTATTGCACACACTGATCTGGAGTTCAAATAAGTATATTTTCTATAAAGGAAATAGTTCTGATTTAAATAATTATAGACAAGGATCAATAGCTACATGCATATATAAAACATCTGAAAAAAATTAAAATGTCCAATACAAAATTATCACTTTAACAACTGGAAAAAGGTAGTAGCCAGCTATAATTCTTACCTCCCACATGTACACATTGCTCTTAACTTGGGATCTTTTTTTCTTGTCACCAACAAATGGTCCAAATTTTTTGCCTTTTAAAATTGACTTAGTTGCCCAGACACCTGAAAAATTAAAGCAGTAACTGTAATTAATCGGCTTTATTTCTGACAAGTAGGTTTCTTAAACACTTCAAATTTGGTAAGATTATTAAATACATGCCAACTAACTTCAGGGAGAATTTACAAAAATATCTGCTGAATAAAAAGAATGGCAAATGAATTCCAGACCAGTTTCCTCACCCATGAAAGAACAACGTCTGTGTCACCCCAGAGTTCAACTCTGGAGACTGCTAACTGGTATGTCCTAACTGATCAGCTGCTGGGATGGTAAACAGGAAAAGGGGTGGTCTTATGAAAGAAATGAAGCAAAAGTGGTGATGTTCTGATTCCTCCTCTATTATCTCTATCTCATAAGTAACAGACAGAATTAAGTAATCTATTTCAGAAGGATGAAAAGTAGTATTTTTCTGAAAATTTTTGCTCTGAATCCTTTGAATCATGTCACCAGGTAAAAGCAATGAATCCCCATACTACAGTATGCAGGATTTTATGGTAAGTTTCTATAAAACTACTTAAACCCTTTTCTGCAGTGTTTTAGGGTGTGTCTAGACTACTGAGTTGTCAACAAAAGTGGACTTTTGTCGACAAAACTATACCTGCGTCTACACTACCACTGAGTTCTGTCGACATAATGTCGACAGAACTCAGCAGTTTTGTCGACGCTGGTAAACCTCATTTTACGAGGCATAACACCTTCTGTCGACAGAGTTCTGTCGACAGAAGGTAGACTACAGGGTTTTGTCGACAAAGCAGCTTGCTTTGTCGACAGAACTGAATGTGTCTATGTTGACAGAAGTTTTGTCGACAGTATCTGTCGACAAAACTTCCATCGACAAAACCCTGTAGTCTAGACGTACCCTTAGTTAAGCACACTATTCAGATGACTGAATACCCCTGCAACAACTCTACAGTAGCAGACAAGTTCACAATAAAAACCAAATGCTGTTTGTGTTTCAAATATGTCAAATTCTGCATACAATTACACCCGTGAAAATCCAAAGCAACCACACTGACCTCAGTGGAGTGAACCTTGGATTTACACTATATTTCTAATGTGCACTGTATTTCTAATGAACAACTGATAAAAGGGAAAGGAAGATAACACTCCACTTAGTGCCATACACTGAATTTAGGCATTTTCCCATTTTATTTTGTATCCATTATCCCAGCCTTTATACAGGAAGGTATAGGTGACCTCTCCAATCCCTACTGTTTATCTGATCATATTCACAATACCCTACTACATTCATAGAACTGGAAGGGACACTGAGATATTATCTAGGCTAGTCCCCTGCACTCATGGCAGGACAAAGTTTTATCTGTCTGATAGACATTTGTCTTAACCTGTTCTTAGAAATCTCCAATGAAGCCATCAGTTATGCTACCTTGGGGAGTATGGATGTGTGTGTGTGAGAGAGACCACTGCTGCACCCCATAACAGGCCCCCTCTGTAATCCCAGAAGCTGCATCCTCAAGGGACAGAGCACCATGAGGGCAGAGGGAGGGATTTGGGGAACGAAAACAGATACGTTCCTGTTCCTTGCCAGCTAGGACTCCCAGTCTGGATTATGTAACAGGTCTAGCTGGAGATGGCCCACGTGCTGGCAGTCTGAGACCCCAATATATAGTAAAGATCCATACTTCAGATATTAAATAGGGAGACATTGTTATCAAAGAACTTTTTAAATTATCCGAAGACTGTCCTAGGATAAAAATTTCATCTGCCTTACTAACAATAATGGAAGTCACAAATAAAATGGATACAGAAGTTCTAAGGTGGTATTTAGTAGTATATCTAAAGGGAAAATGTAATTAAGGTTTGTTAAAAATCTATGTTTGGCCCTTAACATAAACCTTAGCAGAACTTAGATCTTTTCAAAAGGCCTTATAATTTGACAGCTTTTCAGTGAAAGTAAAAATTCATTGTATATATACACACACATATAAAACTAATTATTCCAAACACTATTAGTTCTTAAAACCATCCATAATTCAACAGAATTAAAAGATAAGCTCCATTCACAGAAAATGAACTTCTGGTAGGCACATACCTATTGGTCTATAACAGGGGTGGCTAACCCGTTTCAGACAAAGAGCCACAATAGTACTGGAGACAGCGTGAAGAGCCAGGGCAAAGTTTTTGAACCAAAAAAAAGGGTAGAGCCATGAAGACCGGAGGAAAAGCCTGCGTTTTTTTTTTTTCCACCACAACAGAGGCACCATGCTGAGGCATGGCTTTTCCCCCGGTCTTCGTGGCCCTACCCTTTTTTTTGGCTCCACAACTTTGCCCCGGCTCTTCACACGGTCTCCACTGCTATTGTGGCTCACAAAAAAAGCACTGGAAAGGGGTGAAAGGTGCAAGCTCAGGGAGGGAATTTGGGTGCAGGAGGAAGCAGAGAAGAGAAGATGCTGGTTCAGGGAGGAGGCTCCAGGCTGCAGAGTGGTCAGATGTAGGGTTGGGATGCTGAGCAAGCCGCAGGCTTGTGGCTGGGAGGGGGCAGGAATTTGGGCTGGGGTGCATGAGGGGCTCAGGGCAGGGAGGATGATGGGCTCCGGACTCTCAGGACATAGATTTGCAGTGGGTGGATGGTGCAGGAGAGTTGTGGCAGAAGACCGGGGGTGGGGGGGAAGCAGGAGTTTGGGGATCTGAGAGGCTCAGGACAAGGGGTTACAGTATTTGATAGGTTCAAGTTTGTGGTCTGGGGGGTGTGTGTGTGTGTGCGCGCAGAGTGTTATGATGCTGCATCCAGATGGGGGCTAATTGGCCCAGCTTCATTTTTAAATAAAATACTATGTCAAACACAAAATGTTTCAGCGTTCACTTTATTTATGAGAGGGGCGGGGAACCTGTTTTGAGTCAGGGGTCACTGATCCACAGAAAAGTCAGTGAGGGCCACACAAGTGAGATGAAAAAAACAACCGCTCCAAAACCCCCCCAAGCCTCACTAATGTGGACCCACCTATGCTGGTGAGGTCAGGGGACAGGGTGGTGGGGTAGGGTACGCATGGGGGGTCTGGCTAGAAGGAGGGGTTAGAGACAGCTGGGGCCAGTACGGGGGGGATCCCAGGTCTCAGGAAGCGCACTGTCTGCTCTTCCCCTCCCCTCTCCTCCCTCAGGCACCCTCCCTCCCCCACTCTAACCCAATCCCCCTCCCCTTCCCCAGAGCCAGGCCACACACTCCCCTAATTCTCAGGTCCTGGTGGCGGAGCTGCCACTACGGCCGCACATATCTCCCTCCAGGCGCTGGGGCGCGTGTACTGAGCAGCCAGCCTTGAGATGTGCTTGCTGGGATGCCACGTGCACCCTCCCCACCACGAACCCAACCCTCTGCCCTAACCCAGACTAGCCTCCCCTAACCCAGACTAGAGCCAGGCACCTTCCCCCGCTCTAATCTAATTCTCGGGTCCCAGCGCTGCTACCACTACAGCCACGTGTCTCCCCTCAGGCGCTGGGGCATGTGCGCTGAGCAATTATTGCATTCAGGCAGGAAGCCTATATCTTAGCTGAGATCCCAATCGAAGTGAAATATAAATATTTAATCATAAATTAAAAGGAATAAAGGAAATCACAAATTGTTTCTGAAATGCTATGATTAAGGTGCCCAAAATTATAGAAAATAGTATAACCTCCTAGGTTCCATAGTATGTAAGGCATATAAATAATACTATACTGCAAGTTGAAGTGTCGTCATAGTCAGGGCTCGCCAAGCAGCAGCAAGCCATGCGTCAGGAGCCACAATTTTTTTCTTGCGGCTCGCGGGCCTTGGGTTGGCCACCCCTGGTCTTCAAGATAAAACATTTTGATTTCTTTGAGAATTTGATACTTTTACAAAAAGTATTTTTAAAATACGTATCTCATTTTCAGTACTGGCAAATTTACCCAGCATTGCCTGAGTCCTTCAGGGCAGGGGGCTGGCAATGTGGGAGCTGCAGGAGGCAGGGCCTTGGAGATGTGGGGTTGGGGGCAGTGCAACACTGAGGAGGGGCTCAGGGTGGGGAGTCCCATCTGGCACCAGCCTTCTATTTCCCCCTAGCACCCTCCTGCTATCAGGAGCCTTTTTTCTCTCCCCCTCTCCCAGTGCTGTGGCCAAGAGCTGGGATTCAGGGAAAGGGTTTGGAATAGGGGGCTATGTGCCTGGTGTACTGACAGGCAAGATGGTGGAGCCCCAGCCCTGTTGGCCACTCACTTGGTGGTACGGATGCCCCCAATGGTCACTCTGAAGGATAGTTCTCCACGTCCAAAGAGCCAGTTACCTTATCATAGAAGCTAATCAGATTGGTCAGGCACGACTTGCCCTTTGTGAATCCATGCTGACTATCCCTAATCACCTTCCTCTCAGGTAAAGGAGAAGCAGATACAGGACTCTTGAGGGAAGTGTGTGTTGTGTTTGGGGCTTTCTTGCTGTGTGCTGAGCTTGTGTTTGTGAGTGAGGGTTGATGTGTGTTCTTTTTTTGGTTTTGTTTGTTTTTTCCCCTGTGTTTGTGAGTGAGGCTTTCCCCCCCACACTTCCCCTTTGCCCTCCCCCTCCCCTTGATGGAGTGTGTGCTGTGATTGGCTATGATTGGTAGGTGCTGTGATTGGTTGTGATTTGGCAGGTGGAAACTGTTGGCTTCTAATTAAAGTTTGAATTCTAGAAGCCTCTGCTGATTGGCTGAGCCTTGGTAGAGGGAGGGACTTTAAGGCACTCCAGGGCTTTATAAGGCAGTGGGCAAGCGACCTAGGAGCTTGCGAACAGGACAGCAGTAATGGATGGTGATAGGTGTGCTGTTGTTACCTGCATGGCATGTGCAATGTTTGTCTTCCTCCCGGAAGAAAGAACGGATTTCATCTGCACTAAGTGCAAGCTGAACGCCATTTTGGAAGAAAAAATTAGAGGACTGGAAGCCCGAGTGCCAACACTATGCTCAATCAGAGAGGCTGAAGACTTCCTCGATAGAAGGCAGCATTTAATCCTTCAAGCATGGCAGGCGGAGGAGCCAGAGAGGGCAGTATGTGACCAGGAAGAGAACTGGCAGCATGTAACTTCTAGAAGGGGGAAAAGGCCATCATGGGAATCCCGCAATGTTATAGAGGTAAGTAATCGCTTTCAGGCTCTCTCCACAGGCTCTACAGTGCTGAATGCTTTGGAAGGGACCTCACAAGGAAGAAACCGGAAGGGAACACCATCTACTGGAAGGCATGGGATGCATAGTCCTAGGGATGGAGGTTCCACGGCCACCCCCCCAAAAAGAAAACGACCGGTGGTGGTGGTCGGGGACTCCCTCCCCTAAGAGGGACTGAGCCATCCATCTGCCGTCCGGACCTGGAATCTCGCATTCAGAATGTGACTGAGAGGCTTACCAAACTGATCAAACCTTTGGATCGCAACCCCTTCCTGCTTCTCCACGTGGGAGCTAATGATACGGCCAAGAATGACCTTGAGCGGGTTACTGTGGATTATGTAGCGCTGGGAAGAAGGATCCAAGAATTCGGAGCGCAAGAGGTGTTCTAGTCCATCCTTCCTGTTGAAGGGAAAGGACTGGGCAGGGATCGTCAAATTGAGGATGTAAATGCGTGGTTGTGGTTTCTTCAACCATGGGACTCTGTTCCAGGCACAAGGATTGTTAGAAAGAGATGGGATCCACCTAACGAAGAGAGGAAGGAGCATCTTTGCGGACAGGTTTACAAACCTAGTGAAGAGGGCTTTAAACTAGGTTCATCGGGGGACGGCGACCAAAATCCTGAGGGGAGTGGGAAAGTTGGATACCAGGAAGAAATTAAAAGAGGAACGAGCAAGAAAGGAGGACCTCTGATTCGAATGGAGAAGATAAGGTGATCAACTGCTTATCTGAGGTGTTTCTAGACTAATGCAAGAAGCCCGGGCAACGAACAGGAAGAACTAAAGGCCCCGGCCCAGTCCAAGAAATATGATTTAACTGGGATAACAGAGACTTGGTGGGATGACTCGCATGACTGGAGCACTGTCATGGAAGGGGATAGACTGTTCAGGAACAACAGGCAGGGGAGAAAAGGAGGAGGAGTTGCACTATATGTAAGAGAGCACTACAATTGCTCTAAACTCCAGTACAGGCAGTCCCTGAGTTACGCGGATCTGACTTACGTCGGATTCGCAGTTACGAACGGGGTTTGCTGCCCATCTCCCTGGTCTGCTGGAGAAGCAAAGCCTCTGAGGACACTGGCAGCGGGACAGCCGCGGCGCGTCTGGGCTGTCTGCTGCCCGCGTGCTCCATGGCTTTGCTCCACGTCTCCCTGGTCTGCTGGAGACCAACAGACCAGGGAGACAGGGAGCAAAGCGGAGCAAAGCCGTGGAGCACATGGGAAGGATCCGAGGAGGGGCCGTGCACAGCTTGCCCTTCTGCTCACAAACAGGGAGGAACTAATAGGGGAAGTGGAGGTGGGTGACAACCTGGGAAGCAGTGATCATGAGATAGTAGATTTTTAGGATCCTGACCAAAGGAAGACAAGAGTAGTAAAATACACACCTTGGACTTAAAAAAGCAGATTTTGACTCCCTCAGAGACCTGATGTGCAGAATCCCTTGGGATGCTAACATGAAGGAGAAAGGAGTCCAGGACTGGCAGTATTTTCAGGAAGTCTTCTTGAAAGCACAGAAAGAAACCATCCCGACGCGTAGCAAGAGAGGCAAACATGGTAGGAGACCGGATTGGCTTACAGGGGAAATCCTTGGTGAACTTAAGCACAAAAAGGAAGCTTACAAGAAGTGGAAACTTGGACAAATGACCAGGGAGGAGTTTAAAGGTATAGCTTGAGAATGCCGGGGGGTTATCAGGAAGACGAAAGCGCAAATGGAATTGCGACTAGCTAAGGATGTGAAGGATAACAAGAAAGGTTTCTACAGGCATGTTAACAAGAAGAAGGTGATCCGAGAGGGTGTGCTGCCCCTACTGGATGAAGGAGGTAACCTAGTGACAGATGATGTGGGGAAAGCTGAAGTACTCAATGCTTTCTTTGCCACTGTATTCGCGGACAAGGTGGGCTCCCGGACTAATGCGCTAAGTGATGCAAGATGGGATGAAGATGGACAGCTCTTGGTGGGTAAAGAACAGGTTAGGAACTATTTAGAAAAGCTAAATGTACGTAAATCCATGGGTCCGGACTTAATGCATCTGAGGGTATTGAGGGAATTGGCAAATGTCATTGAGGAGCTTTTGGCCATTATCTTTGAAAAGTCGTGGAGGTTGGGAGAAATCCTGGATAACTGGAAAAAGGCAAATGTAGTGCAGGAAATGTAAATGTAATTTAGGAGGTATTCTTGAACAAATGGACTTGCAGACCGTCACACAGACGGACTCTTATGTATATAGGTAACACATCTAGAGCTATACAACCTGCCTAACCAATTAAAGTTTCTAAGCTCCCCTCATCCAACTTAACTCAGAGCATCACTTTTTTCTAATTAGACCTTGTTTACATTTTCAGCAATGTATTTCTTTGTATTAGATTGGAAAATCAAGAGTCTTCAACATTGATTCTAGTATTTTTCTATTAGTTATAAAAGTCCTCTCAAATACATTACAGATCAACAGGTTATTTATCAGTCCAAAGTTTTATTTATACTGCTGTAACACACTTTGTAGTCTTTATTAGGATCAGGGTAATATTGAAAGGCACTGTCCGTGATCCAAACAGCTTACAGTGTAATTGGTACTGAAGTCTTTGGTTTTGGATTACATTTCAAATTCTCGCTCAAGCTGCTACCTTTCTGTACAAAATTACCTACCCTATAGAACCGGAGTGGCAGTAAGCCAGACACAGTTCACTAGGGTTAGCCCTGGTGGGTTGCCACCACTTTATTGACCTGCGCCTCCACAGGTTCGGCTGTTTGAAGTTCCCATTTTCCGTGGATCACCATTTCCAGCCAATGAGAGCTGTGGGAAGCAGCACAGATTGGGACTTCCCACGGCTTCTATTGGCACAGATCTCTATTCTTGGTCAATAGGAGTTTCAAGAGGCCATACCTGTGGAGGGGCAGGTAAATAAAGCAGCAACGGCCTATCAGGTGCTAACCCTGGTGATCCATGTCTGACTGTTTTTTGTCCACCATTGCTATAGAACAAGCTCCATCAAAGCTCAATAAAAACATCACCTCTTTGAAAGGCATGAGGGCAAATATATGGTGAAATATTTCTATCAAATTTGTCCTCTCCCAAAACACTGTTTCTTCATAGTAACTGCTGCTGAATATCCAAGGAGACTGCATTTTTATGCCATATTATGGAAATATCTAGGACAAGGAAGTTAGTCTTGTGTGGTATTTTCCAGGGCTGTAGTGAGTCCTCCCTTGCAGGCTGAAGTCCAAGAGCTGGGGTGATGATCAGAGAAAAAGATGAGGATTTGGATGCAAACAACAAGAAGATGGATGCACAGAACTACCAGCAAAAAAACTGAGCTGTGAAAGTAGCAAACAAGCAGGAGTGAAGGAGAAACAGCCTAGGGATGTAACAATATTTCTTAATAAAGCCCAGATGCAGAAAGCTCAAAATAACTGATTCACATTCCGACATTCATTCGGTGCAGACAAGCATGGATTGTGGAAGAAGTGGAATGACAGCTCATTCTCACGCAAATCCTGCTAGCCAGTCCACTGTGGATCATAAGCTCAACAGAAGTTTACCTTTATGCTCCATCTGGGAATCAAATTGTCGCAATACAAGTGAAAAACTTATCTGAGTTACTATGTAAAAAACAGTTGTATAAGTAAAAGGTATCCAATAAGGTGACTGTGGAAAAGGGCTTACAAACAACAGGGATTCAAGAAAGACAAATCATAACTCAAGATTGCGAAGAATTTATCAGTGCAAGTTTGACTGGTGCAACACTAGATACCTATTAAACTTCACTTCTGATTTGATAAAACTAAGAAAACATATCTTAGGCTTTTTCCCATTACACACAATCACACTGCTACACAACTGCAGCATGTGTCCTTAAACATTTTCATAATTCACATTTTATTTTAACATCCCACCCCAAACACTCCACCATTTACACATTTAATTTTCTTCCCATTTGGTTTTCCTTTGAGGAATGTGGACGCGCATGCTGACTGCACCTTTATTTTGTTACTTTAATGCTTCACTTTCCATTGCTGCCAAAATGTGATATTTTTGTCTAATTTCTCCATTATCTTTTCACAGTTAGAGCACTTACCAAGCCGTGTCTTGTCAACAGCAGATGGGAAAAGCCTCACTTCCTCAGGAAGCCCTTTAAGCACATGTTCAGGTACATCAGCCAAGGTCTCAGCTGCTCCTGTAGATTCAGATGTGTTCTGTAAGCCAAAAAACAGAATGGCCATGACCATGATTAAAGACAAATATTTTAGCACAACAGATGATCAACCCATACATGCTACAAAAACTGGTGACAAAATAAAAGTGAAATTTTAATTTGGCATTTCAGCTGGGGACTCAACATTACAAGTGTCTTCTATATGAAGGCATTACAGGTTCTTTGTCCATCACACTTGTTTATACTTTTGCAGAGAGTTCTAAAATCATGTTTAAAAAAATCTCCTGCCTGTAGTGGTAAACGTAACCAATTGTTCCTTTGGGAATCCTTCTGTTTTGTTCCAGCTATTCTATGCTCATGTTTGATACCAACTCGATGCATGTATTTTGTCTGTGGTCAATATTTAGCAAGCAAATGTAGCTTAGCCATTTGCCACTTACTTCAGCATTGTGTTGTATTTAAAATTCTGAACATTCATCTGTTATATAGCTAGAAACATTTTATCTCATATGTACTTAAACTAGGTATACTAATGTCACTGAGTTACCTGATTAATATTCCTATTATAGTTATTAATAGTAACAGCAAAAAACAAAAGTTTTGTACTCTTTCTATGCGCCTTTGTATATTTCTTCCATTATCCAACTCATTTTTCAAGTATGTTTTTCATTCTTGTTCAACTAACATTGAGAAGTATGTAAGTGTAAAAATTAATCCGGTAAAACAGGTCTAGAGCATAAATTACAAATCAATTTTAGTACATAATACAAGATACATCCATTATTTTAGCCTAAAATCTCTTAAACAAGAATGTTACTCAAATATTCTACACTGTAGAAACAAAATGTACAACGAACAATTCTAAATCCATAGGTATGCATAGGTGCTCACAGTTTTTACAACACCCTTTCGAAGGAAAGAATATTAGAAGAAGGTAACAACTAAAGTCTAGAGCAGAAGTGGGATCTGAACCCATATCTCCTAAGTCATAATCCACTGTTTTAGTCACAATACCACCTTCCCTATCAAAAGGTTTTTGGAAACCCTTTTGGGAAGTTTAGTTTACAGCTTTCTTAAGACCATTCAGTTCAATATAACATTCACTTCTCAATTCAAAGTGGCTTAGTCAAATTATTATGAAGAGATCTCAATCTGTAGGTAATTCCGCATATTCAACATGGTGCAATGTCTAGGCAGAAGTGGGCAACGTCACTTTTACTATGGCTACACTCAGTTCTTAGTTCATAACTTTTCAAAGTTGTGAACATTTAAAAGTGGTGTATAAAAGCCCTGACCCTGCAACAGACTTTAATGGCGAGCCCAGGAATCTATCAACACTCCATCAATGGCAGGACCAGAGCATGATTAAAAATTTATGCAGCTTCCCATTGAGGTGCTAGAGTTACTCTAAGTCTGCTAAACAGTTTTTTGATTTAAAAAGGTGTACATTTTTCCAAAGTCTGCAAACTGGATGATAGCCGCACAACTTTCACTCATTTTAAAAAAAAATAAATCCATCGATTCCATGGATATATCATCTGCAGGGTAATATTTTAACAAAGTTTAAGCATTAAAAATAACACTTTAGAGGGAAAATGCATACTTTATATATAGGAAGTGCTACAAATGATGTATTTAGAACCTGACAACCCTAAAAATTAAAATAAAAAAAAGACAGGAAGTTTAAGTTTTAGGGGGCTTTTCAAAGGTGTTTGGCTTTTACTTCAGATTGTGTCAAAGCTGTTAGCCAAGATGAGCATAAACAAAAAGATTCATGCCCCAAGTCAGAGAATATAAAGATTAGTAAATATTGATCCAGTGGTCTATTCTCCTTGACTATTTGACAAAGGACACTAACCAGGTTTTTAAAAGAAGAAATGTGTGATTTAGTAGTGAAGTGCATTTTTTAAATATTTGACCTCTGACCAAAAAAGCTAATTGAGGAAGGCAAGCAAGTGCCTGTTAAGATTTAATCTTCAGCTGCAGCATATTTTAAGTTTAATATGACAGTTTTTAATATAAAACTTCACTTGGAAGCTCAATATTTTTATTTTGAGTTTTGACTATTTTAAAAAAGCTCACGTAGGAGTCTTGTTATACTGCAAGCTCTGCAAACAACTGTTTTCATCTGTACAAATGATACAGTGCCAGCATAAAATCAGCATAACTATGAAAGCTGTCAACTGCTGTTCATTAATTCAAATTAGTATCAGCAATTAGGGATGTAAAATCCTGTTTAAAAAGTTAACCAGTTAAACATTAAGTTTAACTGGTTAACTAGGATCCTGTGGATGGAGGGGGGGACGCGAGGTGCAGTGGGCCCAGCAGATAGGAGCAGCCCCCCGCCTGCGGCACAATGCAAGTGGGCCCAGCCAAACTGCACCTGGTAACCAGTTAACCCTTTATATCCCTATCAGCAATACGGCCAGAAATGTTCTACATTACAACTGATGAAGGTAACTTAGGTACTTAAAAGACAATATAAACTTGAGAAAGTCACTGGACTAGAGGTATTGTAGACACTCGGACTCTGTATTAAAATTAATTCTGTCACCACTAAATTAGCCTTTCATTTACATAACTAGGGCTCGACAAACTATACAATCTACTCGCCCGTGGCAAGTAGATTTCAGCCACACGTCCTGTTCATTTGCGGCACGCGCATGCGCAATGCAGCTCTTGTGCATGTGCAGTACAGGACTGGCGAGCGGTTTTCGCCGCCGTTTGTTAGGCCCTGTACATAACTACTCTCAAAGCACTGCAGAAACATCACTTCTTAGGCTATCTTGATTGCCTTAAAATACACGGAAATCTGTGCTTATGAAGAAGTGAACAGCAGCTCATCAGCTGATGTTGAGGAAAAATAGTTTTACTAACAGCAGAAGAGTTTTACAAAGGACTACTAGATCATCCTCAAATGTGTGGCTCGGAAGTCATCTATCATTATTGTAGAGACAGTGTAAATGAAAAACACTGCTAAAGAAAATATATCATTTTACTTTTGGTTACGGATTTACAAATAGCTGTCATAGCAGTACAATTAGCTTTTCAGTCCTGAGTTTTATGCTTAGGTTATAATCATAGTTTCTACTAAGGTGCATGGCTGCACCCAAAAAATTCTTCCCCCGCTCACCTTCTCTGTGGGGAGAAAGGGTAGGGGCGCAGCGGGAAACTGGCAGTGCTTCTGCCTTTGAAATGTAGCAAGAGCAGGCTCTTGTCAATCATGCAGACTCTTGCTACATTTCAAAAGCAAAGCACCTCAGGGAGCAAGGGGTAAGCAGGGGCTCAACCAGTTCCCAGCTGGCCCCGTGCTCCCACCAGCACTTTGCTTTTGAAATGTACAAGAGCCCTCCCTGGGCTCGTGTACATTTCCAAAGCATAGCCCGTGGGACTGTTTGAGCCCCCAGTGGCCTGGCGCTCTCATGGAGCTTCCACCTTTGAAATGTGACAAGAGCAGGCAGGGCTCTTGCTACATTTCAAAGGCAGAGGCACTCTTATTGACTAGTGATGCAAATTACATCGACTATTCGATTAGTTGATTAATCTAAATTTAACATCCTTGGTGAACACCATGTGAACTGAGGGCTCTTACCAGAAATGATCAATACTTAAGATAGGGTTTGAGACTAAAAGTAGTACAACACTTCTCAGTAATAGGCACATAGTATAATCAATCAGTATAAGCAGCATTTTCAACATTTTACATTATAACTGTTGCTCCAGTATAACTATACCACATTAATCACTGTTATATGTATTGTATAAAATCTTAGTTATCTCTATTTCAAACAAAACCGTCAATCAGTAGTTTTGGGATGTTGTGTACATTATATATATCAATTACATTAAATTAAAAAAAAAAAAGAAATTATTTAGGAGACGCTTTGGGGAACATTGTTACAAATATTTGGAATCAACTATATAAAGAAATGAGCTAAAATTCAATGTGTAAGACCATGTTTTGACAGTTAATTGTCTTTTCATGCAGGACAGCTGTCAATCAACACTAAGCATTAATATATCAAAGAAAGGCCTGTACCATCCAGTTGTTTTAAACTTATTTTGACTCATCAGCAGTCACTAGATACTTCTCCAGTCGTTTAATATGCTGACTTTTTGTCACTTTTTTTTTTTCCATTTCATACAAAAAATAGGCAGAGGCGCCCATCCTGCACCTTAGCACTCTTAGCACTAAAGTTAGTTAAAAGTTCTTGTACAAGTTGAACCTGCCTTGTCCAGCACCTTCAGAATTTGCCAGACAAGGGGAGGTCAAGGCTCCCTACCCGTAGGGTGTAGGGTTCTGCTCCCAGCTGGGGCTATGTTCTGTACTACCTGCCTCACTGAGTCCATTCATCCCTTCAGTCACATTGCACCAGGACCGGTCAGGGGCCAGCCACCCTGCCGCCTCCAGCCCCAGCCAGGGATGCGCACCCAGGTGCTAGCCAGTGCTGTGCTCCCCACTGCGCTGTCCCGCTGAGGCTGCATTCCCCACTGCACTTCTGAAACTGACCAGCTGGGACTCTACGGCCCAGCAATATCCATGGTCCAGCAGGACCATGGATGTTGCAGGACCAGTGAGTCCAGTATTTTAGAGATTCAACCTGCATCTTGAACCTGTGTGCACACGTTGATATATCCACACACACAGTATAAGCAAGATCTGCTGAAATCAGACAATTTTACTAATACACTGTTAACATCAATTGAATTCTGAACAATTAAAATAAAACCCCAATGTTAGATTTGTTGTTTCATTTAAAAGGCAGAAATGTCACAGTAAATATTTTCAGGTTTGCACAGAGAATCATTTTCTCTGTTCTGTGCAATGCTTCATGAAACTGTACAGCAACTATTTTCCAATGGCTGTTCTAATAATATTTTAAGTGATTCAACCAACAAGAGGGCTGAGGGCTCAGGGCCAAATCAATATTTTTATTTAAATGTATTAGTCTATATAGAAATGAAGACTTTAGCTCATCAGCACTTTTACAGGGAAAATTACTTACCTGTAAATGCAGGTCTCTGAAGGAAGGCTCCTCT